AGCAACTGCGACTCTGATCAGTTGTTCTTTCTCAGTGGAAGGCACTTATAAAACGGTAGATTCTTCAAGAAGCTGTTGATCGTGTGATTGCTACATAAACTTTCGCCTTCCTGCTCGTGCTGTTGAAGCGTTTAGCTTAGCAAATTGCGTATCAAGGTACCGTTCCAGGCTCTGAAGTACTGCCTGAATACTTCCGAAGCGCCGAAGCGCCAGCTACTGTTGTGTTGTATGTATTTTTTGTACGGAACCAAACGTATGCTGTATAACAACCTCGCGATTGCTGAAAAAGAAAACGGCACATGCTGACTTTGTTTCGGTAGCAAAATGCAAAGAATGGGATGGTAAAGTAGGAAGATAGAATTCCGTAAGAGTCGACATGGTAGGCAGTGGATGGGTGCATAACAAAGCCAACGCAATCAACGTCGAGCAATGGAGCTCTTACTCTTATTCTTCCTCTTAATTATTCTTACTCTTAAGTAAGATCATAAGAGCTTCATCGTTCACTTTCCAAATAATTCTTCAGTTCAACCCCGCTGACGGGTGATTGCTGTGGCAAAAAGATCAATAGAAATAGCTGATAGACAGGCGAAACGAAGGACCCGCATGGTGTGGTGGAGAACGCGTTACTCCCGGAAAGGACAATAACGCTTTCGTTCCCCACCATAGACACCTGCGGTCCAGAGTTTTTCAAATATCTCAGCAACGTTGTGGTTGTAATTCTTCAGTTGTTTTCAAGGTTTGATATAATGCACAGCATGAAGAATTTGAAGAATATGGTGGCCGTGTTCCAGAAACAGTGACCTAACATTGTATGTACATAGTCGGGAACAATCTCCATAAGGTATTGCAGGTGCGTTGCTGGCTTTCAGGTTCAAGGATGTCGTTACCATCCCAACGGTTTACCGTCTCATCAGGGGTGGGAGGTGTTTCTGGGTGTCGTGCTGCGATATGTAGTGGATGGATTCATATCCCCAGAAGGGTTTCCCAAGCTGAGAAGGAGTCTGGCGTTTCCATCAAAAGGCCCAGCTAAGAGTAAGGCAATACCAGGATCTACCACCACCCTGGTATCAGACTAGTCGCATAACGGCAAATTTCCCTCTGATCCACAAGGGTGACGACTGCATGTGGTGGTGACGACCTAGGGCAGACGTTGGCCTGGCTGACCCCAGGACTCCAGGGAACCATAATAGCTTAAACAGCAAGTTTCCGAAAAACGGTGATTATGCTGGGGCCCGCACAACTAGTGAGGACGGGCCATTCGAGTATCAAGTATCAAGTACCAGGTATCAAATCCTTTGCGATTTAGGCAGACTAGATTCGTCTCGAGATTCTTGCGTCCTCTCTGTATTCGTCCTACCTAACGCTGCCGTACCGGGGCTCTTTAGGGGTCAGGGGAATTACGCCCGCTTATTTCACCATGGTTAGATTTTTGATACCCAAGTATAGCTTGTTAGGCTCTGAACGTGGGGGCTGTGTATACTGATGACTAAAATCGACCTTTGCTTTCCTGAGACGCAGATGGATTCGCGGGTGGACTCCGTGTTGTTGATGCGCCGATTTGGCCAAAACTTTCTGTGCTTACCAGGCGTACTCATACATGCGTGTGTGAATGCGTTCTAGTTTATGCGGATTGCATTCTGCGAGTCGATTTGGCTTAAAATCTACAATCAAGTGACAGGGAAGTGACTAGCTCGCTAGTCTCTCCCAGAGTGGACATGTAGCTTATTTGTTGGAGGGAACTTCTAACCACCTCCTACATATTTCCCTGTCACTTGATTGCAGATTTTTGGCCAAATTGACTCGCAGAATGCAATCCACATAAACTAGAACGCATCCACACACGCATGTATGAGTACGCTTGGTAAGTACAGAAAGTTTTGGCCAAATCAGCGCATCAACAACACGGAGTCCACCCGCGAATCCATCTGCGTCTCAGGAAAGCAAAGGTCGATTTTGGTACGCGATTAACCCCTTATCCGTCATTTACGGTCAAGCTACGTTATCTCGCGACTAACTAGCATGAAATCCTTTTAGAAGGGAGATTTGGGATGTTCGAGAAATTTACTCCTATAAAATCAAACTAGGACTGCAAACGGCTGAAAACATTAACGGTGTACTGGAACAAGGAGGCGTTAACGAGCTACAGTGCAACGCTTATTTGAAAAATTTCACCGCGTCTATCAAATTAGGAAAGGTCGCGAATCTACGTCTGCTACTGTCGACGTTGAATTTAGGTTCTATAATGCTGAGATATTTGCAAAACTCCGGACCGCAGGTGTCTGCGGTGGGAAACGAACGCGCTATTGCCCTTTCCGGGGAGTAACGCACTCACCCAGGTAATTGCTGATTGCAAAAAATCGATAGAACTAGCTGAGAGTCAGACGAAACGAAGGACCTGCATGGTGCGGTGGTGAACGTGCTACTCACCGGAAAGGACAATAGCGCGTTCGTTCTCCACCGCAGACACCCGCGGTCCGGAGTTTTGCAAATATCTCAGCATTATAGAAGTTATATTTCGCAACATACTTTGCTGTTAAAAGGAATAGGCAGTAAATAAAAAGGTTAAGGCTGAATTTAGGCTTTCTTGCGAGTAAATACACATGCAGCTGTTTGAGAACTGCCAGAAAAGCTTTCGCAGAAAACTGGAATGCAAGTGAGCTCGAAAAACGTGTGTTGAACTGAATAACAGTCAAAAAAGTCGCCTTCTTGACGCATAGCCGGAGCTTCTTTTGTGCAGTTGAGCGACCTGTTTCTCTATTATTTGTTGGCGTGCAACGAAAAATGGATTCTGTACGACAACTGAGGGTTACTTCTCAATAGTTGGGCTACAATGAGCATCCACAGCGCTTTCCAAATCCTAAAGTGAGCCTAACGAAGACCGTTTGGTGGTCAGCGGCTTAGTTGACTACGGCTGCCTGAATCTGAGTGAAGCGATTACAGTGGAGAATTAAGACCAACAAATCTACGAAATACATCAAAACTTCAAGGACTGCCCTTTAATGGTCAACAGATATGTGCGAACTGGACTCTTTGAACCTCTGTATCACGCACCCTGCTCGCTCCACCCCTCTAGCAATTTTTTCAAGCATCTCGACAACCTCCTGTACAAGAAATGGTTCACAAACCAAGTCGAGGACAAAACTGCCTTTAACGACTTCATCGTCTCCAGAAGACAAGAGATTAAAGCGAACGGTAGAAGTAAACTTGCTTACGGTTAGTAAGGAATGTATGTATTTTAATGGTTTTTACTTCAACCAATAACATTTACTTTGAGCTGGGTTACGCCACTTTAAAATACGGATTGAGATCCGGAGTTAATTTTGAAGCAGCTTATGCTTTAAAACAAACCAATATTAGTGCTACTTGCAGGAAAAACTATAAAGGATTTCCTAAGCAAGTCATCTGCCGAAAGCTGAATAGAGGACAGTTAGTAGCCGAAAAGAATAAGAGCAGTATAACGGTATTGCGCTTTTGAAGTTAAGAGAGGCATTACTATAAAGTACACACTTCATGCGGTGATCCTAGTCCACCCACTTTATCAGAAGCCCAGGTCATCGAGAATTAGATTGTTGGTTGTAGGAGGCAACAATAGCATGTATTTAAAGAGTGCCAATTATGACGTATATATGGTAGCCTAGCTAAGAGTAAACCAATACCACGATCCACTACCGTCCTGGTATCAAAGTCGCATGGTGGCAAATCTCCCTCTGATCCACAACAGCTGCGACTGCCTGTGGTAGTGAAGACCTGGGGCAGACTTTCGCCAGGCTGACCTCGAGATTTCAGGTTATAAAATAGTGCGGAATAAATAATAAAAAGGCTTAACAGCAGTTTCCAGAGCAGAGAGAGAAAAAGACAAACTGTGTTGAACCCCACTAAAGAGCGCACGTTGTGTGAACAACGACTCCTCTAAGAAAGTCTCAGTGAATTAATTTCTATTTCAACGAAAATATTCCTAAGTAGCGAATTCTAGTGTTCAAGTAGAGGCATTTCTACGCCTCTTCATGGGGAAAGCTGTCTCTGCTGCACACGCTCTCCGACAGCAATAATCTTTCGCCGCATAACCTCGTCCGAATCTTTTTTTGTTAAATGAAGAAAATAAACTTTTATAAGCTGCACCAGCTGTAGCATCTATGCAGGATAGCCTATCGACAGAAGCGAAAAGTGGGGTAAAACCCTGTGAGCGATCTTTGCGAACCGCCACAGAGGTGTGTACCCATCTCGATACACGAGGTTCTGTGCAAGTTAAAAAGTAGCACAGAAAAATCTGTTGTGAAATACAATCAAAACGATGTTGAGATAATTGTGAAACTCGAAAACTAAAATAGCTTCGAACTAGAGATTACTTTACGTGCCACCCCCACTACCCATGCCCCTGGTTTGCCTTTGTCTCAGCCATTATTTCACCCCAACGGTGTTATCAGCAGTTACCGAAAAAAGATGCTCACAAAACCATACGGTCATCAGTAGAATGTAACATAAACCCCCACTCGCAACAGTGCGGCTTTGAGAAGACGAAGTCCCCGAAACGTCGGCTATCAAACAACAATAACAACGGCGGTAACTTATACCAACCTCGCATCAGCTCAACAAGGACAGTTCGTAAAAACATATGAATACACATACCAATTATTTCTACCGATGTTTATAGAAATGCGGCCTTTTGAATTTGAATAGTTTGATTCTCGAAATCAGAGTAAAACTGGCCGAGAAAAATGCAAATCAACGACCTCGGTGGTGTAGTAGGTAGTACGTGAGCCTCCGGGAACGGTAATCGTAGGTTCGAAGATAACCAGAAGTCTAAGTTCTGAAAATATCTCAGCAAATGCGGGACCCGTACAATAGATGTCATAGAGGGCCATGTAAGAGGAAATTGCAGCAGCGCATCTTTTGATTCTCCAATTTACCGCCCGCTATCAGTTATCATAACTATTAACTTCTTGAAAAACAGGTATGGTCAGTGAATACAGCGACTGAATCATTGTTCTTTCGAATGTGAGATGTTGCAGTTCATCATCGCCGGAGCGCTGATTTTCGAGATCATTCGTCTCTTTCCTCTTCCTGACGCTTCGACAGTTAAATATACAAAACCAACGGTATGTCGCTGTTTGCAATTAGTGACTCCATTTCAGATAATTCCTAAACCTCCTTCAATATAACGTTAGCGATCCCTATTTTCCTTGACAGCCATTGCGACTATGACTAATTTTTCCTGTGGTGTGCACATAACTCAGCAGATGAGTGCGCCGTACCTCCAAAAACGGATACCGAGTAATATACCCATTTCAACAGTCTTTCAGCAACCGTGTACTGGTGCACTAGCGCCATCTTGGCATCTCTTTTAACAACAAATTCCGTACGGACGAACGGCTTCGTTCGAAAAATAATTTTTTATAAAAAATAAACTGAAGAATATAGCTTTCCGTGACCATGTGGGGAACTGCATCTGAGGTGAGGAAGGTATCGATCAAATACGGAAAGTTTAGTAAGAAAAATCTTGGCGACAAAATGATCAGTGAGAAGGGAAACGGATGGAAATCATAGCGCGAACTTGTTAGTTCAATACGAAATTTCGAAGTCCAGCTTTTCAAAACTCAGCTGCATATGAACCTTTCACTGAAATTGAAAAAACACTCGACGATTAGTCCGAATACAGACAAACAGAAAATGCACGGTAAAGCGTTAACCTTCCTTGAATCCGACAAACTCTATTGGCAACTCTAAGCTAAATCACCTCTTTCAAGGCTAATAAGGTAGTAATAAACTTGCCATGCAATATTACTTTGAAAGAAAATCGGTGTTGTTTGTTGTCAGTGTTATCACGACGGTTCTATTTATTAGAGCTTTTAGTATTATAAAGAACAATTCCTATTTCAGGATAAGAAGACAGCATAGTTACCTCTTCCAAGGAAAATGAGACGGTGAAACAAATATATTCTTGTTTATTGAAGCCAATAAAGGTCAGAAAAGAAATAGTGTGAATTTTTCACTACTATTTTCTTGTCGTCGGAACGTGGAATGATCCACATCCATCTTTTTGCAATAACCACAACGATATTGTGAAGCCTTGAGTAAACTTCACAAAACTACGCTGTGTTATGTTTGCTGTTGTAAATCGCACACGGTCATGCTCACAAATTGTTGGATTACAACCGCCTTCCCAGCTACGTTCATAAAACTGCACACACGAGTCATTTAACGTCCACACCGGATATATGGCATAATTACTTGTAGTAATAACGTTTAGAAATCGAGTGAGCGGTCAGGGCATAACTGAAGTCTAGGATGGAAATTGGCTACTTTCCTAGAAAGTCGAATTTAATCCGGACAAGAAGCGCCAAGGCAGTTTGGAATAAGACATGACGATGGATCACACACACAGACGAATGTCATCGCAACACAAGAACAAGATATGCTGCGTCACGTGCATCGACAGCAGTAGTACTCATTTCTCAGTCGCTGCAATACTAGATAAAAGCTTCCATTAAGGCTTAGGATAGCAATTCAATTTCAGCCCTTTAAATTAGAACGGCTGCTTTAATAATGACCGGCTTTCTGCCAAAATTACCCTTTCCGATATCCTTTACCTACAAAACCGTCCTCGTCTTTCTTTCTGCGATTTAAGAAATTGCAGGAAGGATACTGTATAACGGAATTTACGTAACACTACAGTTAAATTATCAAATAGAGGCAAACAGCAGAAGCTCCCTCTTTTGCTTTTGTGATAGAGGATTTTCATATGCATCTAGGCTGTATACCGTATAGGTTAAGTTATACACGTAATGGCATCTTGATGGTTTTTCGTGCATGAAATTCCTACTTCCCCATTTTTTTTCCTAGCTTTTAGTTTCTTTGGACGCATTCTTGAAACTGGCTGAATCGACATGAACTAGCTTTCGACCAGTCGTCAACATCATTGTTCCGTTTGAAATCAATAGTAGTGTAGAAGAAAAAGTTTGGGTTAATTATCGTGTTTTACCACAGTCTAAGGTGTCTTTTCTTACATGACGTATTGCGCGGATCACAACATTACTTGCACGCGATTAGTTTCTTTGCATACACCATTCGCAAACTTCTTCGATCGCTTTTCGTGTGGTTTCGGCTGCTGTTCGAGGAACTTCGTCTTCGTTATTCAATGTCGTTGATTGCCGATCGAGTCTATTCTCCCAGCAACTTTGTGATAGGCAAGCAAAGGCGCTCCCACGTCGAGAGGAGGCAGCTAGCCAATACCGGAGGAATCTGGTATCAATTTCCCGACTCTAGAGGGGTGAGAAATTTACTAAGCTCTAGGAAGGAACGACCCAGTACTGGCTTGTTGGTGAAGTACCACTGCGCAACTCGCGCCCTTTTATGTAATACGACGTACTGTATCACCTGTCGTCCCGTTGACCATGGAGTGACTCGAGCGGACGCTAGTAAGCCATTCATTTTTCCTTGTCGCCAGCCAGAGTGGTCCAGCATTTTCTGGTCGTTCTAGAGACTCATTGATCATCGTATCTTTTTTTCTAGTGTTTTCGTGAAAAACTGTGACGATGAGGGCGGTGGTCTTACTGCAATACGTTTGATATCCCAAACGATCAAGTCACTAACGGCTCTTTTCCATTCGTTGTCGTTCACACGCATTACGTGTTCGGCCCATCTTATCTTCGACAGTTTGGCGCATAGAAAGGCATCTTTGGTTTTTGATCTTTGACGCAGATTGTAGCTCCGGATCCTTTCCCTTACTTGTGTGACACGGGATACTCTTAGCATCGTCCCTTCGACTGCGCGTTCAATAGCGCTTAGTGAGCTTTTATCCTGCTTACGTAGCAACCAGGTTTCTGATGAATACTTTAAGGCAGAAAGTGTTATGGCGACGAAAAGGTGGGCACGGAGTCGGGCATTCATTGCTTTCTTCACTACATCCTCGATCGTCTGCATAGTTCTCGTTTTGACGTTGATGTTAATATCCTTGTAGAATGGTGTTATTTTGGTTAAGAAATTTTTGTATACCTAACGAAGAGTCTTTGTATGCTGAGCATGGACACCCCAGCTGTCCAGAGTTACCACGACTGCTTCTAACTTAGCCGAGTCAAAAGCTTTCCTTAAGTCGATAAAGGAGGGCAGAGCGGTCTCTTGCACCTTCGCCATAGTTCGATGAGTCTTGTTATAGTGTGTATGTCGTCCATTATTCTGAATCCTTTCCAATTCCCTGCTTGTTCACATGGCTGTGCTTCGTCCAGTGTTCTGTCAATAGATGACTAGAGTGGAAAGTTTGCGGACGACAGAAAGCAATCATTCTTTTTGAAAACTAACATCGTTTTGCTGGTCTTCCATTGAATAGAAGCTTTAACTACCACAAGTAATGTGAAAAAAGTCGAACCAGTGCGTTGATGAGGACTAACTGAAAGTTCTTGATGTTTTCAGGTCTTGTCCTACCCGAACCAGGTGTTCTATTTTTCACCGACGAAATAGCATGATGAGTTTCGGAAGGAAGAACTGGTGGTGCGACGTATCCATCCTCAGTTACTTAACATGAAAAAAAAAGGACATAGCTATCGAAGAGATTTGAGTAGTAATCGTGAAGGGTTTTCTCCATTGGCTTTGTGGATGCTGCAGTTATTCCGTCTGGGCGTCGAAGTGCAATCATATTGATCTTGTAATTGGCGAAGTTTCGGTGGGCTTTGCAAATACTTTTTCCAGCCTCTGCAGTTTCGACCATGACTGCTGCTCTTTTCTCTTTAAAATCTTCTTTTATCGCCTGTTTGCATTGTTTTGCAAGTTCGGACGCTAGTTCGCGGTTGCCTGCAGCTCGTGCGATTCCATACTGGTGTATCAGCTCGAGTGTTCCTGGAGACAGACGCCTCTTGGTGGGTTTCGAACTCTCAGCTTCTATAGCGCTAATGTGGAGATGTTGAATGAGGCAGTCTTATTCATTGTTAATATTGTGAGGAACAACATCTTCGGAACAGCTGTCTAATGAACTGTATAAATCCCAGTTTATGGTGCTTTTCTGACTCCACTTCTTAAATTTAGCGGTTTTTCCTCTTTTCCACGAGAAAATGGTCTGAACATATAAAGAATTTTGGGACAAAAGCGAAATCGGTTAGCAGAAGTATCAACTTGCTGTGATGTGGTCATTTCGTTATGTTGCTCTCCACTGGAAGACTCCCACGTCCAGCGTTGAGGGTGAGGCTTCTGGAACTGCGAGTTAGCATGGACGGTCATGGTCGTCATGATGAACTCAGACAGCAGTTTACTCTGCTCATTGCATTCTAATCCGTGGATCCCAACGTGACGTTCTCCAGACGTTCTTCTTGCTCCAATCTTTGCGTTAAAATCTCGAATGATGACCTTGAACAACGAATGTATGCTCTTCTAAGTGGAAGTTCTCCATTTTCACATAGAACACTTCAACTTCTTCATTGCCATAGCGTCATTTAGGTGCGTAACCAACGAGGCTTGTCAAAGCTGGCATTGATTGACCTCTCTTCAATAGTAGACGTCCGGTTCGTGTCGCTCAATGAATCGATGTTCATGGCCAAACCCATGTTGACGAGAACGGCGACGCCGCCGATTCCTCCAGTGTCGCACGTTCCAAGCAACAGTTCTTCTTTATTGTCACAGACAGCTTTGAATAGGCGACGTCTTCTCGTCTCGGCCTCTCCAAAGACGTCGTACCTTATCCATCTTGCCTGTATGATCAAGCCTTCTGTCGAGGACTTGTAGGAACAGATCGTCACCTTAGTCCTTTAGGATTCACGCAGCTTAGAATGGCCCTGAGATTTTAACAGCCTCTCCCGACTTGCCCTACTCAACGCTGCCGAATAGGTTATTGCAGGGTTAGGGAAATGAGACCCATTTACTTTACTGCGTTTAGCTCTTTCATAGCCACGTATAGACTACTGACCTCTGAACGTGGGGGTTGGGTACTCACGGTTAGCTTGCTAGTCTCCGCTTAAGCAGACGGAAAGAATATTTGTTGGGAGGGGGGGGGGGGGCTCCTAACCGCTTCCGATATGCTTCTCCGCTACTTCATTGTAAGCTTTTGGCCAAATTGACTCGTAGAACACAATCGGCACAAACAAGAACACAGTTAAACATGTTATGCATGAATACGCCCCCGTAAATATAGGAGGTATGTGACAAACCGGCGCAGCAGAAAGAGGGAGTCCACTAG